GAGAGAGAGAGAGAGAGAGAGAGAGAGAGAGAGAGAGAGAGAGAGAGAGAGGTGAAAACAGCAGTCACATTGCCAACTACTATCAAAACACTTGGTAGTTTTGGTGGCCTGTTGACCTTCTCAAATGATCTAGGGACTCCAGGGACTCCATTTTTGTGAGCCACTTTTATAATCTAGAAGGAAGATATATACATTACACTGGGGAGGTAGCTCAGTGGGACAGTGTCTGGCAAGAACAAAGTCCTAAATTTGATTCTCAGTACCAAAAAAAATAAATAAATAAATAAAATAAATAAAAAATCATACAAATGTTTAAGGCTAGGAGACACCATGAACCTTCTATTGGCTTAGCCAGAACAGAAAACAGCACACTCTAAGTCACTGTTGAGCTGACCCCCTACTATTGAAGTCTCACATTATTTCCAGTTTTCTGGTTTTACTTGAATTAGTATTTGCCTTTGGCTTTCTGCATATTGTAAATCAAAAGGATGATTTCAAAGGACGTACACACTCATCATGAGTCTGATATTGCCAAACACCTCCCCAAAACCCTGCTCCAGTTTGCTCTACTTCAGGACAGGCTATAAGGATCCTTTTTGCTTCAGCCCTGCTGGAGATGGAACCCAGAGCTTCACTCATGCTGCTGGGCCGGTGTTCACCACTGAGCCGCAATCCCAGCCTCTCAAGTACTTCCATATTCACAGAGAAGACAGCAAAATGTCCCTAAAGCTACTATGCCACAAGTCAATCCGTAATAGCTCTCCTGCTGTGCCCTCAATTGGATCTTTTATCTCTTTCCTTGGCCTCCAGCCACTCCCTGCCTTGAGCCGAGGGACAATTCCTGCTGAAAGGTAGCTCTAGGTAGGAAGAGGCCAGAGACCTGGGGCTACAAAGTGAGGGCTGCAAGGCCCTGTGCAGCTCACTGGGACAGAGGCCTCGGCAGGCACTACGTGACCCAGAGAGGCTCTGCACCTCTCTGGGCCTCACTCCCCAACCTCCAGTGAACATACATTTATGAGCAAGGATCTGCCCCACGGTGTCCCTGTCAAAGGCTGTGGAGGGGCTGAAGAGGGCTCCCTGGAAGAGGCAAGGGACACTCACCAAGCTCATTCATGGCCCGGCGGTATTCTTCATCAAAGGACAGCTTCATCACAGCGCAGGTAGCCTGGCAGATCTGAGGCTCAATGGGGACCGGGGCTGTAGGAGAGGGTACCAAGTCATAAGCTCCCTCCTGGGGAAATAGGCCAGGGGGACCTCAGAAGGTCATATCCCACATGGGCCTGCAAGGATCCCATGAGCTGTGCAAGCCCCTGAGTCCTGGGCACACCCAAAGCAGTGTTTCCCTTTCTGCACAGCTCCCGGATGCAAGAAAGAGGCTGCCTACTCAGGATGTCTGTGCACAACACCACTCAGCCTTTGCCCTGCATTATTAGCTTTGTAGGCCAGGTGTGGTAACACATGTCTATCATGACAGTACTCAGAAGGCTGAGGCAGGAGGATCTTCACAAGTTTGAGACCAGCCTGGGCTACAAAGTGAGCTCAAAGTGAGCTCAAGCCTGAAACACATAGTGAGACCTGGTCTCAAGAAACAAGGGGCCAGAGAGATGGCTCAGGAGAATAAGTACTTGCGGGGCAAGCACAAGGGCCAGTTCAATTCCCAGTTCAGACAAAAGAAAAGAAAAGAAAGAAAGAAAACAAGACAAACAGGCCTGCCGAGGGGGCCCCACCCCCCACGGCCTGCTGAGACAGCAATTGAGACTGGGCCTGGAGTCGCACGCCTGTAATCCCAGCTCTTGGGAGGCTGTAAATAGAAGGATCACTACGAGTCCAATCTGGTAGTGAGACCTTGAACACCCTGTAGTCCCTTCCCTAAAATACAAAAAAATAAAAGACAAAAAAAATTCTTTCCTGAGCTGCCAGGTACAAACACTGCTGATGGCTCATGAGTATTTTTTTGTCATATTGGTATCTGGTTCCCACAAGGTTTCAGACAGAGCACTACACAGAGGGGGACATGTGGCAACACTGACACACAGTGCCCTAACCCAAACGCACGTGGACGTTGCACAGAGGCGCTAGCCTGTACTCACCGCCGCTGGCGCCACCCGCCTCGGGCCCACTCTCCCGCGCCTGCAGCCAGTCCCAGCAGGTCTCACAGTAGGCTCGGATCTGCTCCAGCACGTGCAGGACGCGCATCTCCTTTCGAGCCAGGCCCTGGTCGGGCTGAGAGAAGACGATGTTGTGCAGCGCGGCATTGGCCCGCATCCGTGCGTCCTTGGCTCCAGGGGCTCCCGGGTTCCCTGTGCGACGCCCCGCCCCCGCCTCGGCCCCGTGGAGGATCTGCAACAGCAGGGGCAGGCAGCCAGAGCGGCGCATGGCCACACAGCTCTCAGGAGAGCTGGACATGGCCAACAGCGTGCGGGCAGTGTCCTCCTGGTCGCGCGTTGCTAGCATGGACAGCAGCCAGAAGACCACCTCCACCTACGGGGAAAGCGAGGGAGGGTCAGAGAGGGAATTCCACCCCCTCACTTCCCTCAAACTAGGGGTGTCCTCCACTCTTGGGCACTATGCTACCAGGGGGAATAAGGAGAGGGGAAGAGAGTCCATGGAAGCAGGGGTGCCTGGTGTGGGGGTGCATTCCTGAAATCTTAGCCCTCTGGTAGGCTGAGGCAGGAGCCCAAATGTGAGCCCAGCCTGTACAATAATAATAAATATGCAAAATAGATGAATAAAAAGTCAGGGGTGTAGCTTAGTGCAAAGGCCTTGGGTTCAATCTCTAGTACAGTAAATAAGGAGGGCTCCACATCCAGCAGGGATGCTAGACCCCCTCATCCCAACCCCACTGGCTCCCCTCCTCACCTTGCTGTTGCCGGGCTGCGGGGTACCATCCTCAGGGTGTGTAGGAATCTCCGCCTCTGGGTCCTCCTCTACTGGCACCGACTTCACTGCCAGTAAAGCCTACAGGGAAAGTGGCAGGCCTGGGGCTCATTCTGGGAGCACCCCGTCATATGGAGGCCGACTGCGCCCCTCTGATGAAGTGGGTGGGTCTCTGCACCATTCTTGTACTCTTTGCAGGTCAGGGGCCCCTGGGTTCCCTCAAACCACCACCCCCTGGGCCCCTGGCACGGACTCTGATACCTGGGGCTCTGTCTGCTGCACCCGGTCCTGCGCCTCCAGCAGCTCCTTGTCAATTTGTTCCAGGCGCGAAGCTCGGATCTGTGTGGGAGAAATTTGCTGAGACCCAAGCCCGAGTTGAGGACAGGACCAACTGGGGCCTTCTCCCGGATGTGCCACGTCCCCAACTCTGACCCCACCTTCTTTCTGGTGTGTGACTCTTTCCCTGGTCTTTCTTTCTCCCCCCCCTCTACTCCCCCTCCACTCCCCGGTGGGGATTGAACTCAGGCCCTTGCGCTTGCCAGGGAAACGATTATTCTTTTTTTTAAATTTTATTTATTTATTTATGTGTGTGTGTGTGTGTGTGTGTGTGTGTGTGTGTAGCTCAGCCCACCAGGGGGCGGGGCTGGCTGGCATGTGGTGCTGGGGGATTGAACCGAGGTCCCTGTGTTTTGCTAAGCTTGTTCTAAGTAGGTGCTTTAGACCACTGAGCCATTTCACCAGCCCCGGGAAGTGTTTATTGTCCCCGGCCCTATTCCTGGTAAGAGGCTGGGATCTCACTGCACCTCCCGAGCCAGACTGGACCCTTAGAAATCTCCTCTAGAATGCTCTCATAGCCTGAGATCCCGCCTATGAGCGAGGTCCCACTAAAGCAAGTCTCCACCCACAACGATCTCCGCTCTCTGATTCGCCCACTGGCAGATGGCCCCGCCTCAGCCCCGTCCCGCCCTGCACCTGTGCGCGCTGCACCATCTCGTCTGAGGTGCCAAAGCGCTCCTCCATGAGTGAGCGGATGTGTTGGGCCTCGAACTCCAGCTGCTGCCGGATCAGGTCCATCTGCATTGAAAACTGCTGGGAAGAGAAGGCAGGCTGCAGTGAGGGCGCCCAGGTCCCCCGGTGCTCTGGTGTTCCCCTCCCTGGGCAGGACAGGCAGCCCCGTGCGCTCACCGTCTCCACGTGTGGCAGCTCATCCAGGCGCTTGGAGAGACCCTGCAGCTGGGAGTAGTACCACAGCTTCTCCTTCTCCTCCTTCTCGATCTCGCTCAACAGGAAGCACCTAGAGGGACAGGATAGTGGGGTAGGCCTGGCAGAGGGGGCTGCCGCTGCATGCACGGTGTTTATTTTGGTTGTAAAATCACCTGACCGGTGTTTACTGTGCACCAAGACCAGACTCGTGGTAACGTCTCACCCTTGATTCTCCCAACTTTGGGACAGGGGAGAGGAATGGAATTAACTGGGTAGGGTGGTTAAGAAAATTAATTGAAAGGGAAAAAAGCAATTCTTTTATAAATACTGGTCCTTGGAGAAAGGACCAGCGCTTGCTAATGTTCCAGTTTATAAAGCGTAGGCCTCAGGCCCCATGTGCCCCAGGTACAATAGAGCTTCCCTTCTGTCATATCCCCCAGGGCTGGGGATTGAACCTGGAGCCTTTGGCTTGAGCTATATCGCCATTTTTTAAATGTATTTGGTACAGGGTCTCACTAAGCTGCTCGGACTCCTAGAGATCTGTTTTCAGCCTCCCCAGTGCTGGGACTACAGGCTTGCGGCCCCATACCTGGTCTCGGTGGCCCTCACAGCGCACCCAGGGGTGGGGCTGACGCAGCCTATGGTGCAGGGGATCCAACTCTGGTCCCTGAGCTTGCCTTAGTAGGCACTTAGTCCGCTGAGCTATCTTGCTGGCCCTCCTCGCCAATCTTATTTCATTTTTAATTTTTAATTTTGATAGTCTGACTAAATCACTAAATTGCACAGGTTAGACTGGAACTCGAGATCTTCTTGCCTCAGGCTCTCACAGTGCTGGGATTACAGGTGTGCCACATCCAGCCCTGCTGTCTTCGGGGGAGGGGGTGCCCGGAATCAAATTCACAACCTTGCGCTTGCCAGGCAGGTGCTGTGCCACTGAGTCATATCCCTGGCCCTTCTGTTCCCGTTTTACAGAACAGAAATCTGAGGCTGAAAGGGGTGAGGGAACCTGATCGAGATCACACAAAACAGAGCCTTAACTCCAGCCTGTTCTGGAATTCTCTCTGACCTCACACAACCCAGCTGGTCCCAGACCCTGCCTCTTGCCGCTGGCCAGAAAGCTGTTGGCCCAGATTTCCAGCTCTGGGTCCCTCTCTTTACAAAGACTGCCTTGAGCTTTTCCGGCGCTAGGCCAGATTCTGAGCCCTAGCATCGGACACAGCCCTGTCCCTAGCGACGCCAGCCGGCCTGGGCCCCCATAGGGACACCTCCCAGGAGCCTTTGCCCCTGCCAGAAACGCCCCTCACCCTCTTCGTCCTCCAGCTGAAGTCAGCCTAGTCTGAAGAAGGGCAGGGGAGCTACACCGAAGGGGGCGGAGCCGGTTCGGCGGACTGGGGGCCACACGCGGGTGATCAGATCATTGGGCTGGGACAGCTGGGGCGGAGAGTTTGGCTGGGGCGGAGCTACATGCGGCCTCCCGGGTCTGTTTCCCGTGCCCTCTCACCGCTCACGGTCCAATTCCTCCAGGAGGCGGATGGTGGCCCGGCTTAGCTCCCCAAAGCTGTCCTTGGAAGGCCCAGAGCCGTGGATGGGGCTTCCTTCCGGGGTTTGGGCAGTAGGCTCAGGGGCCAGGGCAGGTGGCTGGAACTTGAGGTTGTATAAGCTGGTGATGTCCATCTGGAGAGCTGGGTGGGTGAGAGTAAAGGTCAGTGCCCCAGCTTGCCCTCCTGCTGCCAGCTCCCTTGGAGGTGGCCTCTCACCTTTCAGTTGCTCCAGCACCTCTGTCTGCCCGGATGACACCAGCACACGGGCCTCCTGCTCCAGCTTGCCTTGCAGGTGCTTCAGAACCTCCTGTGGGCCGGGAAGGACACAAAGCCATGACCACTGTCACCTCACCAAGTCACCCACCTGGGATGCCTAGGGCTCTTCCTGCCCTCCTCTGTGGCCCAGGGTCCCCTGTGATCCATCCCACCTGTCCTTCATCATCTGCACCCCGCACCTTCATCCCTGAGGTCTCACTCTCCAGCTTGGACAAGTGGCTCGAGTTGTCCTGAAGCTCCTGCCTCAGGTGACTGTTCTCAGCCTTTAAGGCCTCCACCTGCCGCACCAGCTGCTCATAGGAGGCCACGGAGCTCGTCATCTTCAGCTCCTGCAGCGCCTGGGGTCACAGGGTCAGAGAGTGTTCAGTCCAGGGTTTGGAGGGGTAGCCGGCAGCCCAGACCTCAGCCCCAGCTCCCTCTGTGTGCCAGGCAGCGGTGCATAGCGTGGACCATCCCAGGCACTGCCGATGGAATCCAAGAGACAGACGGCGAGGCAGATGGAGTGACAGACATGCATGGTGACGATCAAAAACAGAGGGGCAAAACCATTAGGCCAGTGTTCAGGTACAGAATCCCTAGCTGCATGGTGGGCCTGTCACTGCTGGCCTCCTAGACACCTCTGAGACATCCTGGCAGACAGATCTGAGACCTTACAGCCTAAGTCAGGGATGGACTGGCAAGCTGAGGCCACCAGGCTCACATGGACAGAGGGCCACAGACAGTGATAGACAAAGACCTTCCCTAGAAACTGATGGCCAGAGAGGCTATGTGGATGGATGACTGGCTAGCCTTGGTGAAGACAATAAGAACACCATGAAACCTTGTTCAATGCCTCAAAAAGCCATGAGCAGATGACAGGGAGCCCCTTGTAGCCAGGCAATGCAAAACAGACTCAAGCCCACCATGATCACCCCAGGGGGTGATCCTACAGCTCCATGTCCCCACCAGTGCACCGGATCCACAGCCTCTGACCAGGCCTTCGTTAGCCCTCCCTATCCTGGTATCCCGGCCCCACCGCCTCATCCTGCCACTGAGGTTGCTTTCTCACTGAGGTCCAGGCTTTTCTTTCTGTCCAGCTGGTCAGCGCCTCCACCCTCAGCTTGGCCCCAGAGCCATCCTGCTCCCCCCAGTGAGCCCCTTCCCTCTTTGTTCCCTTCCCATCAGCGCTCACCCCCTCCCTCCGCCTTTGTCTGAGGTGCACCAATGGCAGCGTGCCCCTTCCTCTGCCACCTCCTCCCGGGGAGCCCCCTCCCCAAGTCAGCCCTGCCCCCCAGGGCACTTGCTCCTCCCCCAGCCACACTCATTCATTCACCCACTCATTCATCCCTCCTCCCCTCTTACCCCAGAAGCCTCCTTCTACCCTGGTGTTTCCCAGAGTATACTGGAGGCTGGAAGAGGAGCAGGGGATGGGATCAGGCCATCCCAACCTGTCTGGCCTCTGCCTTCTTCCATGCCACAGTCCTATGTCTTAGGGACTATCATTAGGCTGTTTCCAAGGGGAGAAAATGAGGACCATAGGAAAACAGACTCACTCAGCAAGAGGATTAGGCATGACTGGAGCCTAGGCAGTGCCCAGAGATGCCCAGAAGTCCACAAAGTGCCAGCAGTGAAACAAGAGCCTCCCACTCTCCCCATCAGGGACAACCCTGCCTGTAATCCACCTCACAAGGCCGATGGGAGCTGTGGTGGCAGGGCCACAGGGCAGAGCAGCCTGGTGGGGGCTGCCGAAAACCAGACCACCACAGCCTTCACGCCAATGCTAATCATACTGAGACTCAACTGGGGTCACAGCTGTGGATCAGGCCCAGGGTAGGGGGTCATACCCAGAACCTCTTCTCACAGGAATGCTGACCAGGGGTGGCCATGTCCCTCCTCATGTTTGGTGGTCACTCCTGTGTCCCCATCAGACTGCACCTGGCATCAAGGCTCCTCCTCACTCTAGCCCACCATCCCCAAATCAACACTGCCACTAGCTCCTCCTCTATCCTAGCACCCCATCTCAACAGGGTACTCACCAGGGTACCTGCCACTTCCTGGCTCCCCACAATCTACTCTTCCTGTACAGCCAAAAAGAGCTCCAAGGGGCTGGAGAGATGGCTCAGTGGTCTAAAGCACCTACTTGAAACAAGTTTGGCAAAGCACAGGGACCGGGGTTCAATCCTCCAGCACCACATGCCAGCCAGCCCCGCCCCCTGGTGGGCTGAGCTGGCCACACACACACACACACAATAAATAAATGTAATAAATA